CTCACCCATATTGAATAATATTGAATGAGTTCCTTGTTTTTCAATGCAGCGTAGTATTCCATTGTGTGAATATACCACAGCTTCTCTATCCATTCGTTTGTTGATGGGGAAACTTTATTTTTAATATGAAAATTTGAGTGATAATACTTTGTTCATAATATGCTTTTTTTTTTAGATGACTTGTTTAAAGTGCATAAAGCAAAACCAACTTTGAAATGGAGGCAGTCATTTGAAAGTTATTTAAAGACAATGCCTCCCTACTATCTTGGGGTAAGAACATTATTATTAAAAAGTAGAACTGTTATGCAAAATTTAGTAGTGTGCTTATTGTTTACTCTTGGCTTTAGAATTTGATGTTTTGTTGGTTTGTTTGGCTATTTTAGCTTGTCATAGAGATTTTGTTTAAAGATGACCCTCTACATCATTATATTTCAGTCATTAATAGCATGACAATGATAATAATATTGGTGATGGTGGAGGTGGTGGTAATGCTAATAGTAAACATTTATATGCTGCTTACAAAAAGAATTCACATGTGTTAACATCATTAAATTCATACAGTAACCCTAAGACATAGAAACTATTATTATATTTATTTGTCCATGGCTAATGTATGTGGACACGTGGGAGTCTAGAATTTAGCCCCTGGCAGTCTTCCTTCATATGTAGTCCCTCAACTTTGGTTGTTACCTTGATTTATAAAATTGTAGTTTTATAATTGTGTTTCTTTCAGGATATAATTTTCTAAATTCCTAGAAATACTTTTTTAAAAACTGTTTTTCAGTTGCTTGTGTTCACAAATAACTGTACACTGCCATTATTTACCTCTTATAACGGAACCTCCCCATAGGCTTCCTTTTTTCCTCCTGTCCATCCATTTGCCAGTCTCTCCTTTCTTTCCTTCCAGTCCCTTGAGGTCAGCCGTCCACAGTTGTTTCTCTGTATGTGTAAGCATTTCCTTAGTCTTCCTCCTTTGCCCCAGTTGAATCGGTAATGCATGTCCTGTTCATGTGTTAATTGCACACATACTGTCTGATTGTTCATTTAAGATAGACCTCCCTTGCACCCATTCTGTTAGTACTCATTATCCATTCTTTCCTACTCTTCCCACTGCTCTCACCCCTATCTTTATGACAGTGGTATTTCCTTTTGTGAGTTATTTCAATCAATAAAATGTCTTCTAGACTCAACAATGTTATGTAGAGAAGCACTTTATTACATCGGTGGTGGTGGTAGGTGCCGTTGAGTCGTAGATGATTCATAGCGACCCTATGAAGGAACAGCCTGAGCACTGTTCATAGAGTTTCCGGAGGCAAGCCATTTTGGAAGTGGATGCCACTCCTGCTACCAGGCTTGTTTTAATTGGGAAGCTCCACCACACACTGTCCACCATGGGTAACCATGATCACATTTGGCACATCAGTGTCATAGTGTTCAGCATCACAGCAACCACAAGTTTCCTCTGTACAGCAATGCACAGAACAGTGCTATACCACTTAGAAGAATGACAGGAAAATAATTTGAACCTGGCCTGAGGGCTGCAGATTAAAATCACCCACCTTTGGCTTGGCAGCATAACTTTCTGTCCAATAGGCCAGTGTAGCTCTATGTTGAAAGCATATATAATTTCCATATATTTTATTTATTTTTAACATTAAAAAAATAATATTTTTTCTCCGTTTTTGCACATTTTCTTCCCCCTTCCCCATCCCTCTCCACAAAACACCCGTTGTTCCAGACAGTTGTCATCCGTATAGTGCCTAATCATATATTCCTTTTGAACACTTTCCCCCTCATCTGATCTAATACAGTGTTCATTATCTATCCACTCGTTTCCCATATTTTATGCAAGCCCCTCCTGCCTGTCCTCTATTTTAACAATGGTGTTATGCAGTATTTGCCTTTTTCTGACTGAGCTAAATTTCACTCAGCATAATGTCCTCCAGGTTCCTCCGTGTTGTGTAATGTTTTACTATTAGAGCTGTGTAATAGTCCATTGTATGAATGTACTGTAGTTTTTCTGTCTATTCATTTGTTGATTGCCACTTGGGTTGCTTCCATCTCTTTGCTATTGTGAATAAAGGAGCAATAAACCTGGGTATGCATACATCTGTTTGAGTCATGGCTCTGGTTTCTTTGGGGTGTATTCCCAATAGTGGAATTGCTGGGTTAAATGGTGTTTGTTTTCAACTTTTTTTCCTTTCTTTCTTTCTTGTTGTGTACCATTAAATTGGATCCGACTGGCACAGGAGGAGATTGCCGCTCCACCAGAGCATCTGGTATTCCCAACTTTTTGAGAAAGTGCCAGACTGCCTTCCATAGTGGCTGTACCATTTTACATTCTTGCCAATAGTGAATAAGAGTCCCAGTCTCTCCACAGCCTCACCAGCATTTGTAGTTTGCTCCATATACTTTTTGGAAAACATAAAAATTATTATAACTTGATTGTTAAGACCAAAACCTTTTCAGTTATTTACATAAATTAACTTATTTAGGAAAATTAACTTCTAAACAAAAAGATTACACCAAAACCACTTTTTAAATACTTTTACTTTGATCCAAAAATGTTAGTGTATGATGTCTTTGATCAATATTCCCAAATAGTCCATAGTACAGTTAGAAGATTAATTTCCTGAACTTTGACATCTTTGAGTTGTAAGAGAATAGTTAAGTGTCAAGCACATTGTATCCTTCTTGTCAAGGTAGAAAAGAATTCACTTAACATATGTTATTTCATCCACCTATCACAGCAGTACTGTTGACTTAGTGAAAGTTGCATGGCTATTAAACACAAGAATGAGGCTTTGATTCAGCTTTGATGCCAGTCTTACACTTTGTATTATCTTAGTTTTTATCCTCCTTTTACTGGCTGTATTTCTGTTCACATATGCCGGACACTTACTAGTGATGTTTTAGTTTTCATTACACCAAGAGAATGTGTTGGGTTTTTTAAAAATAAAATTTTTATGTTATGCTAGTTTATTCACAGAGTTCTTATACATTGTTTTTCACACCAGATCTTTCCCATTTCCTTTTCCCATGCCTCCCTCCATCCATCAAATTGTGCTACCCTGTGATTAACCACATCCCACACCCCTCCCATCCTCCTGCCTCTGCTCTCACCCTTCCCCCCTTTGGGGGTAAGTAATGGTCTTATGCAGTATTTGTCCTTCGGGGACTGATTTCGTTAACTCAGGATAATGCTGGAGTTTTTCCTAAGTTAATTAGTGATTTACAGAATCATTGCTCTTGCATTACTGCATACTATTCTATTCAATTTTATTTAGACATCTGAGCTGTTCCCATGTTCTTGCAATGGTGAATAATTTTGCTATGTACATTGGTGTACAAGTGTCTGTCTGTGTCTCAGTTCTCATTTTCTAAGTGATGGAATAGCTGGGTCATATGGAATTTACGTTTTCAGCTCTTTGAGGAAACACCAAACCACCTTCCAGAGTGGTTGTACCATTTTACAATCTTACCAACAATGTATGAGTTCTTATCTTACCACATATTCTCCAACATTTATTACTTGCTGTCCTTTTAAACTTTGCCACTGCTACTGGAGTGAGAGGGTATCTCATTGTGGTTTTAACTGCATCTCTCTTATTGTCAGTGGTTTTGAGCATTTCCTCATGTGTCTGTTGGCCATTCATATAGATTCCTCTGTGAAAATTTTTTCCATGTCTTTTGCCCATTTGTAATGGAGTTATCAGTCTCTTTCGTGTGGAGGTCCTGAAGGATTCTATAAACTTCTGATATGAGACCCTTGCATGAAGCGGTATTGCCAGATGTTTTTTTCCCAGTCAGTATGTTTTCCCTTTACTCTGTTGGGAAAAGTTTTTGATGTGCACAAGGATTTAATCTTTAAAAGGTCCCATTAAATCAGTTTTATCCTCTCCAGATCCAAATTGTGCATTGTGTATTTGGCAGTCCCTTTATACCATAGACTAGGCTGGCTGAGCTTGATCCCAGTTTGTCTCTGGTGAACTTCAGGCTTTTAGGCTTTACTCTTAGGTCTCTGATCCACCTTGAATTGATTTTTGTTTATGGTGTGAGACATGGATCCTGTTTCAGCTTTTTGCAAATGGCATTCCAGTTTTGCCAACACCATTTGTTGAAGAGGTTGTCATTTCCAGAATTGATAGGTTTTATTTGCTTGTCAGGTATCAGTTGACCATAGATAACTGGGTCTGTTGTTGAATTCTCAGCTTTGTTCTGCTGATCTCTTTTGGTTTACTACTGCTGTGTTTTGAGGTCAGGAAGTGCTGTGCCTCCCATTTTATTTTTGTTTTTCAGAAGTGCTTTGCTTTTTTAGGATCCCTTTCTTCAAATAAACTTGACAATTTCCCTTTCAGTTTCCTTGAAAAAGGAATTTGATAACTGGATTGGGATTGTGTTGAACATGTAGATTGCTTTTGGTAGGATTGTAATTTTCACAATAATGAATCTTCCTTTCTGTGAACAGGGCATGCTTTTCCATTTCTTTAGGTCTTTCATTTTATCCTGGAGAAATGTTTTGTAGGGTTTTTTTAATGGATCTTTTGTGTCTCTAGTTAGGTTGACTCCCAAGTGTCTCAATTTGTGGCTGGCTATTGTAAATGGTATTGCTTTCTTGGATTCATTTCTGAGTTCTTTTTATTACTTTTGATCTCCTTGAAAAATGAATGTGCCAAGAGAATCTTAACTGGTGTACTCTTTAAGGTTGAAAACCATTCAACAGTACCATTTCTATACCAAATATTAGATTGTTTTTCCTTCCTCTATTTTTTCCTTCATATCTTGCTTTTGAAATTTTTAGTATTTATAGTATTCCCATTTTGGCTCATGGTAATAATGCTGTGTACCAGCAAGTTGGACCTGACCTCTGGCACCTTTTCAGAGATAATAAATCACCTGGGAGTTGATTGCCCATCTTTTTCCTGCAGAGCAGCTGATGGATTTGAACCATGTACCTTTGCTTTGGCAGCACAATTCCTTAATACCTGCTGAATATTTACTAAGCTAGATGCTTTTATAAGTACCTTATATGTATCAACTAATTTTATCCCATGATAACTATGAAATAGGTACTGTTGTCATCCTCATTGTACAGATGAAAAACAGGTTCTAGAACCTAAGTGGTGGAGCCATAATCCACCTACGTTCTCAAAGTATTATTCTTGGATTTTCTTTGACTCCTTTTTCCTTCTACGCAAATTGTATCAGGTCCCTCTCTCTCTCTTGTGTGTGTCTTGCTCATTTATTTCAAACTTACTGTCTGTAGAGATACTACTGAGCCTAAGCCTCAATCTTTTCTGATTCCATTCCTTTTTATAACTCTTACATGCCATGGGCAAACCTTTTCTGAAATTCAAATATTGGTTACATTTCTCTATTGTTTATTGAAGAAAAGAAAGGGAGAGCTTTTAAATCTAACTTATTTGTGTAGCCATAGTTTTTTAACCAGCTTTCTATTGAATGGTGTTTCTTTTTCTCCCTATAGCCCTTGAAGAAAGCTGTTAGGATGATGGGAGCCCCTAACCTAATAGCAGACAGTATGGAGTACGGTCTTAGTTACAGCGTCATTTCATACCTCAAAAAATTGAGTCAACAGGTAATATTAAGGAACACAGTGAGCCTTTTAAGTCTTTTGAATGATTTAGGCTAAGAAGCTGAATGCTAGTTTGTAACAGTTCTGATGGAGGTCTGTTACATTGATAATGTTGTATAAAGTCCTTGTGTCATATAGTAATATAATTCTGTCTCAGTTATGGTATACTATGCTTTGAAATGTTAGTTTTTATAATGATTCTTAATTTATGAGGGTGTCATCACTAATCTGGCCGTTGATACCCCATGTGTAATAATTTTGTTTTCCTTTGAAAAATTTATACTAGAAATTTACAATGTTTTAAAGTCTGTAGAATTTATCTTTAAACATCTGTGAAAATATTCAGTGTTGCCATTCCGTCTGTAATCCTGTACATAGTACATATGAGCAGTGTGTGTGCTTTAATGGAATCCAAATTATTAATGCTCTATGAAATAAAATACTCCTCGGTAGTCACGATATCTCTAACTTAACTACTTTTCAAAATACGTGCTGAGAGGTATTGAAATCATGGTATTTGCCTTCCAGTGAAAAGTCACATCACTTCTTGCCATGACTGAACATTTAGTTACGTGCTGATAACAAAATGTGTGTAAATATCATATAATTATTTCTTTTCTAATTTTCTATCACCACTGAAGTATGTACCGTAGTCCGTGTTTTCACTAAAGATGTATATACATTTCATGATTTAGCCATTGTTGCTTCCATATCCCACTGTGCCGTTGGGCTGATTCCGACTCATAGTTACCTAATGTGATGAAATAGAACTGCCCCACAGGGCTTTCCTGGCTGTAATCCTAGAAGTAGATTCCCGAGTCTTCCTCCATTGAGTGGGTTCAAATCACCAAATTTTTAAGTAGCAGTTGAGCACTTATTCATTGTACCACCAGCCTCCTGGATTCGGTGGTATTGTTGTGTTCTGTAGAGTTGGAACCAACCCATAGCCGACTCTACAGTGCGTTTTGAGAGGCAGTTAATCGTACAGGAGGAGATGGCTCATCTGTCTCTCCAGAGCAGCTGATGGCCTCAAACCATGTGTCTTCCGGATTGCAGCACACGTTACCACTAGGCCACAAGAGCTCCCTGGATTAGGTGGCGTTGTTATGTTCTATCTAGACGCCTGCGACTCATAGCGACCCTAAGTACAACAGCCTTAAACCCTGCTCTATCCTGTACTAACCTCATTGTCTCTGACACACCCACCCCCATTACCCCAGTCACTGAATCAATCTATCTCATCGAGGGTCTTTCTCTCCTCTGCTGTCCCTCCACCCAAGCATGATGTCCCTCTCCAAGAGGGACAACGTCCCTTCATGCAA